GGAAATATGCCTATCTTCTAAATGTTAATATGTTTCATTACTACATGTGTTTGTGTGTGTGTGTGTATATGTATACATATAAAATACATTTATTAATATCTTCTCCAATCCCAATCCCATTAGAGCAGTCTTTAAGTCCTAGAAAGGTGTCAAAATGAATCACATCACTGGCAGAGTCAAACGCTATAAAAATTCTAATTCTCACTTGAAACTCTGAAGTTTATTACAAGCAACATTTTTAAAGTGGGAGGTTAATTTCTGATAAAATATCTACTAATCATAATTTGTCATCTGTTGTTTTTTCAAATAAAGGTTATATATAAAAAAGTGGCTAATTCAGTTTATAACAGCAATAAAAGCATACAAAGTTTTTTCCTTAAACACTGTAGTCTGTGTTTTATGTGTTCTTCTGTTTTGCTATATGGGACATTAAAAGAAGATGTTTACAGAGATGTGGTGGCACAAACATGTAATACCAGTGACTTAGGAGGCTGAGGTAGGAGGATCACAAGTTCCAGAGAGCATCAGAAACTTAATGAGACCCTGTCTCAAGATAAAACAACAACAAAACATTTGGGGATGTAGATAAGTGGCAAAATATCCATAAGTTCAATTCCCAGTACCAAAAAAGGAAAAAGAAAAAGAAAATATTTTCAGCGCTTCACTAAGTAAACTGGAGTCTGGGTTTTTTGTTTGTTTGTTTGTTTGTTTTTGTTTTTAAAGAAAACATGACTGCAAGGAAGTGCTGCCTTGATTTGTGCTAAGATGCCAACAGTTTTTTCTCAATTATTTTGTACCACTAGTATAAATGTCAGCACACACAAAAAAAAGGTCAAATAAAGATACTGTATAATTATAAAAATGGTCTGACGGGGTGGACCTCTTAAAAAAATTCTTAGTCTCCTCTACAGATTATCCTTTAAGAACCACTGAATCAGGAGACCAATGAGCTGATTTCAAATTCGGTTTATAGAGGTTGTCACATAGAAAACAGCAAGCCATATAAATTATTAGTTCAGACTGTGAACCAATTGATAGAAGTTATAAAAAGTAGATTAACACCAAACTGAGAAATAACCTTCATCCCCTTTATAAAAATTGATGTAATTTATAAACAATGTACAAATTTTATGGTTTTTCTTCTTTTACAAATGAATACAAATATGAGTTTTAAAAAACAAAAAACCACCACCTCAACCAAGAATAGTTACATAATTCTCCAAATTTCATGTTTCTTCAGGTTCCCCATCTAGCCTAGACAACCACGGATCAATTTTCTGTTCCTAGAGTTTTGCATCATATAGGAATAAATGGAATAACACAATATGTAGCCTTTTGAGGTTGGTTTCTTTTATAAGTGTTGTTTATATTTTCTGAATATAATTCTTTAATCAGGTATGTTTTCTGCAAATGTTTTCACCCAGATGGTGACTTCTCCTTTCATTCTCCTAGCAATGTCTTTTAAAAATATGGTTCACACTTTTGGTGTCATAACTAAAAAATATCTGTTTCGCCCGAGTTACAAAGATTTTCTCCTATATATTTTATTAGTTTGAAATTTGGAACAAAGTTTATACTTAGAACCTGAGAGTTAAATATTGTCTATGACACAGGTATAAATGAAGGTTCTTTTAAAAAAATTTTTCTTATAAATACACAATTGTTCCATCATCATTGGTTGAAAAAACTATTCTTTATCCATAGGAAAAGCTATCTGATATTTATGGTTGATCGGTAAAAAAAGCAGCATCAGAAAGAAATGAGTCAGTTAAGTGGAAATTTTTAAAACCAAAGTTGGAGAAACAGATGTTCAATCTAATTAAAAAGGACAAAAGATTAAACTATTTTTCCAAATCTCACTCCTTGAAATCCTCTCAGAACTCAACTCTGGAGCCTTATAAGTGTTTGCGTATGCCCTGCCCCAAATCTTACCTCCTTTAAGCAGTTCAGCTTTTATCTATTTTATTACTATTACATTCCCATGTAATATTTCTCTTGAAAAAAAGATTGAGTCTCTTTAAAATTAAAAATAATCAGATTCAGTAGCATCACTAGATAACCTGAAGTTATCCTCTAGGCTTAAATTCCTAAGATCTGTTTTCAGAAAAGAGAAATACCTACAAATAACCATGAAAACCAATCCTCAACTAAAGTTAATTCATACACACAAGCACTAGGCTTCATATTCATCTTTTTTTTTTAATTTAAAAAATATTATATATGAGTATCTAATAGAGGTCATGATAATGGGAAGTTCTCATAATTTCAATTAAGATTCTAGCTTCCATCCAATTTCAGGTACAAATATGACCATTATCCAGTTTTGCACAGTTAATAAAAATATTATACTAATCTAAAAAATTGGCTTATATTATATAATAGTTATGTTAAAATGATGTTTCCACATCTTTTATAATACTCATAGGCTTTACCTTATAATTTGAAATATCTTTATCATTAATGTTGGGATATATTTATATTTCAACTCTTTTTTTGTTCAAAATGCAAATATAATCAACTCTATTACTCAGTATTTCCAGAGGACCCTCTTGAGCTCCTGGTCTTGTCATTATGTTACTTACTTACTGATTGAGCCCTCCATTAGGGGGGGCATTGGAACAAGATGCAAAAATCTATTAGCATTATGTCACTTACTGGATTACCTAATGCTTTACTTTTGATGTAAAATTAAATGAATGGTTAAAACTCAGGTTTGTATTAAATATTTGTATTAAATATTACTTCAATAACTATAAATAAGACCTCCATTGATTTCACCTGGAATACCATACTGACATTTTGATTCATATACTTCAAGAAAGATAAAACAGGAAAACATATACAGAGCAACAAAATTCATCAAAGGTACGTGACTAATTTTAAAATATATAATTAAAAATACCACACTAGTCTATATACCTCTCTGGTATTCTACATAACACCTTGTTTAGAGTAGTATGTTTATTGGCTAATTCATTCATTCCTTAAACTTGAAATAAGAGAACTCAGAAAGAAGTATTATTGGAAAACTCTTATGCCTCAGGCTGAAAACTCTTATGCCTCCTGAGTATTACTCAAACCATTACACCAGAATAAGAAGTCAACCTTTTGGGCTTAAAAGAGATGGTCATAGGGCCAGGAGTGGTGGCACATGCCTGTAACTCCCAGCAGCTCAGGAGGCAGAGGCAGGAGGATATTGAGTTCAGAGTTAGTCTTAGCAATGGCAAGACGCTAAGCAAGTCAGTGAAATTCTGTCTCTAAATAAAACACAAAATAGGGCTGGGGATGTGGCTCAGTGGTTGAGTGGCCCTAAGTTCAGTCCCCAGTACTGTCTCCGCCGCCCCCCCCCCCCGGAAAGAGATGGTCATAGGAAAAATTAAAATACTATCCTCATTAAATAATGAGCACATGGAATGTGAAAATCCTTCTCTCACACATATATAACTTTCTCATCTTTTTATACTTAAATAAACAAATGACGTTTCATTAATAAAGAATAAATTTTAGATGGTGACTGGATAAAGATCTAGGGACTGGTCAAAAACATGTAGGTTGCATGAACAGGAACTCTGAATGCTCTGAAGCAGGATAAAGAATAGGAAGTTCTAAGGTTGGTATGGCTGGAACACAGAATACTGTAAAAAAGATATTAGTACAAGATAAATTAAGAGGAAGGCAGGAGTTAAATCATATAACAACTTGAAGACTATGTTAGGATTTTAATGTTTATTCTAGGGGCAATAGGAAGCACCAAAGGATTTCACAGTAGAGGGTGACAAAAATAGCATTTTAAAATAATAATAAATAGCTATCCTGGGGAAAATCAATCAGAGGAAGATTAAAGTGTGTGAGGAGATCAACTGGGAGACTTGAATCAGTCTAGATGATGATGGCAAAATCAGTAAATAGCCTAAGAGATAACCTGAAGATAAAACCAGCCAGCCAGCCTGAGGCATAAGAGTTTTGCAAACTGTCTGCTTGTTTTTCTATTTATCTGTCTATATCTTTAATGGTGCAAACACAAATTTGAGTGTGACTTCTTACTTAGATTATGCTAACAGGCTCAAAGTTAAGTGATAAAACACTATGCCATAAAAAGGAGAGTAGTTAAGAAATACACCCACATACTTGTTAATAGTAAACCAGACATAAAAGGCAAAGCACACTTAAACTATTATACATTTCTATCAGAAGTCTTGGGAACATTACAAAATTTATGCTATTACATCATGTAAGCATAAATATCAACTTGCATTTAAAGTAACAGGCCACATACTAAAAACTTCAGTGATGGCTGGCAAAATTATATTTACTGATGAACAAAGAATTATTCACTTGTTTCTAGTTGTAATGTTCTAACTTAACTCTCCTGTGCACACAGAAATGCTATGTATGTAAATGTATATATAATATGTATAACAATAACATTGCATGGTTCTGGAAAAACCCAATATATTTAATTTTAGATAGTACTGGTAAGTATCTTACAACTTAAATAAGAGTGTTACACTGAGAAAATAAAAAATACTTCATTATAAATAAGCATTCCAATCACTACTTATAAACACCACGAAAGCTTTCATCATTTTAATTTATGACAATATTTTTGTATCATGTTTAACATAAATGATTTTTTTCTCTGAAAATACTTAAGATTTATGTATAATCACTGTGCACAGTGATGCACGCCTATATTCCCAGAGGCTCAGGAGGCTGAGGAAGAAGGATCATGAGTTCAAAGCTAGCCTCAGCAACTAAGTGAGAGCCCTAAACAACCCAGTAAGACCCTGTCTCTAAATAAAAAAGGGCTGGGGATGTGGCTCAGTGGTTAAGTGCCCCTGAGTTCAATCCTAAGTACAAAAAAAAAAAAAAAAAAGATTTATTTATAATCTAGAAATTCAAACTCACTTTCCTAGAAGAACCTAGAAGACCATATTGAATATTGTTCAAAAATAATCCTAAACGCAAAACCATAGCAGAATATAGTAAAGAATTCTTACCAATTTTTCATCAACTGTTATAAGTTGAGTGTCTCGAGTTTGGTCCTGTGCCAGCCTCCATGTGGATGTGCTCAACAATCTGCAGTATAAGACTTCAAGTTAAAAAGTGATCCACTCAATGAGAAAAGAGAAGCAGACAAATCTTACATAAACAAGCTACTTTAACAATATCTGTCTTATTAAAAATTAAGAAAGAAAGAGAGGAGGACACAAAAGTCCTTTTTCTCCCCAATTAGTTCTGTCTGCTAAGTTTTTGGCAGACTCTCACGTTACAGTTCACAACAGGCAGCACTTTATGTCAGTCTACAGGCTCTCTGTCACAGAAAGGCCACCAGTGACAAGTACTGTACTGCTCTCTATGAGAACACAGTGGTTGGTTTGTCAAGACCAAGCAAAAACATGCAAACCTATATCAACTACTCTGGAATGCTGATTCCTAAATGATGGCATCAGAAAGGAGGGAAAATCTCAATCATAAGAAAAAATTTCTTTAAGTTTAAACCATAAGTAATTTAAATATAAATGATGTGTAATTATTTAATTAATGTTAACAAATTAATCCTGTATCCTGTTCAAAAAATTTGAGTAAAGTCTGAATGGTTAAAATAGAAATATTAAATTGTAAGTAAAACAGGATTAAAGTCTATTTCCTTTATATTAAGCATCTTCCTATTTCATTGCAAAGAAATTACTTAAAACCAACAGGGTTTTTATTTTTATTTCATGTACACAATATCATTTATACTAACAAAATGTCATATTAATCCCTAATTCTGACAACTTAACACTTTAGATTTATCCAAACTATTAATCCATCTTATATACATTTTTCTTTCAAAAGTAAGCTAGTGCCAGGCATGCTGGTGCATACCTGTAATCCCAGCTACTCAGGAGCTGAGGGGAAGGGGATCATAAGTTTAAGGCCAGCCTCAGCAATTTAGTGAGTCCTCAAGCAACGTAAGAGAGATCCTGTCTCAAAATAAAAAGTTACAAAAGCTGGTAATGTAGTTCAGTGGTAAAGTATCCCTGGGTTCAATCTCTAGTACCACAAGAAAAACAAAACAAGACAAAACTCAACAAAAGAAAATAGAACCACCCAATTAAAAATAGGAAAAGGACATTTATACATTTATACAAAAAAGACATAGTCAATAAGCTTATGAAAAGATGCTCAACATTACTAAGAATCAGGGAAATACAAAGAAAAATACTAGGAGATACCATTTCACACAGTTCAGTAATGTTAGGCAAAAACAAAATATATGTGTGCTGACAAAGATGTAAAGAAACTGGAACCTCTGTGAGAATATAAAATCGAAAAGCTAGTGTGAAACACAATAAGCTGGTTTCTCAAGATATTAAACACAGATCCAACCATTCCATTTCTGGGTATATACCCCAAAGAAATGAAAGTAGGGACTTGAAAAGAAACTTGTACAGAAATGTTTACAACAGCATTATTTAGAATAGTCAAAAGCAAAAAACAGCCAAAATTAAAAGATACACTTTTTATTGGGCAATATATCATAATAATTGAAAGCACGCATGTAGAAATAATGATTAACATGTAATCATCAGAAAATAAATGGTAATTTTACTTAAATTTAGTAAATTTACATACTATTGAGTAATCTTCTGAGAAAATAAGAAAAACTTTGTTTGCCTCATAGTTTGCCTTTATTTCTGCCTACCTATTTGTTTTATTAGTCTGTTCTCATTTCCAGTTTCTGAAATATCAATCTTAATTTTGAGCCCAAAGGATAATTTTGAGTCTGAGGGTCATGACTATTATCATCAATTACCATTATTAAAGTATAAAAGTCATTTATTATATTTAGCTTTTCTGTATAAGTTTCCTGTAAGAAAGAGATTGGAGATCAAGAGATCTTATTTCTAACCCTGGTCCTATAATTTACTAGATATCTATGAACAAATCCCTTAACTTCTCTGTATCTAAGTTTCATTCTTTGTAAGTCTGTAAAAAATAAGAATCATGTTGTTCTAAAGTGTCTTTCAGTAATGACACTCTCCGTGATTCTATTAGTGAAATGGAGTATGGTTCTAGTTGATTTTAATAATTCTCTATGGAAATTCTATGTAATAATTACTCAACTCATAAAATAATTTGTTCTTTAAGCCTATGCAGCCAGGCATGGTGGTGCACGCCTATAATTCCAGTGGCTTGGGAGGCTGAGGCAGGAGAATTACGAGTTCAAAGCCAGCCTCAGCAATGGCTAGTCACTAAGCAACTCAGCCAGACCCTGTCTCTAAATAAAATACAAAATAGGGCTGGGGATGTGGTTTAATGGTCAAGTGTCTAAGTTCAATCCCCAGTACAAAAAAAAAAAAAAAAAAGTCTGTGCAGTTACAATTTATAAAAATATATATGTAGACCACAGTTTCTTTATCCATTCACTCATTGATAGACATTGGGTTATTTATGCTAAAAACATTCATGTGCATGCTCTTGTATGGACATACAATTTCAGCTCATTTGGGTAAATATCTAGTAGCACAAGTGCTGATCCTGTTAAGACTGTTTTACCTTTGTAAAAAAGTGCAAAACTGTCTTTGAATGTGGCTGTATCATTTTGCAAATTGCATTCCAACCAGCAATGAATAGGATTACTTGTTCTTTTCATCTTTGCCAGCATTTTGTACAGTCTTGACCATACAAAATGTTTAGGATACTAGCAATCCTACCAGGTGTGCAATGCTATCATTATTGCTTTAATTTGCAATTTCCTTATGACATGATGGTGAATCTTTTTATCTGCTCATTTGTCATTCATGTATATATATGTATGTGTTATGTGTGTATGTACCTCCTCTCTGAGAAGTTGTCTTTTCAGACCTTTAGTCCATCATCATTATTATTATTATTATTATTATTATTTGCTAGAGATTGATCCCAGGGCCTCATGCATGCTGAGCACATCATACTCTATCATTGAGCTCTACCCTACAGACCCATATCCACTTTTTGACTGGACAATTTTGCACAGTTCTTTATGCATTATAGATACAAGTCTTTTATCAGATATGTTTTGCAAATATTTTCTCCCAGCCTGGGCTTGTCTTGTCATTTTCTTTGCAGTATGTTTCACAGAGAAGTCCAATATTAATTTTCTCTTTTATGAATCATGTTTTTGATTTCTTCCTATCTATAATAAATGCTTATTAGGATCATCTTAGAATTTCTTTTCTTTCAGTACTGGGGATTGAACCTAGGGGTACTCCACCACTGAATTATACCACCAACCCTTTTTATATTTATTTGAGACAGGGTCTAAGTTGCCTCAAACTTGTGATTCTCCTGCCTCAGCCTCCCAAGTTGCTGGGATTATAAGGTGTACATATAGATCATATAAATACTGTTTTTGTTTGTTTGTTTGTGAGACAGCAACTAGTCGAGGTTGGCCTCAAACACCTAGGCTCAAGCATTCCCCCACCCTCAACCTACCAAGTATCTGGAACTATAAGCATATGCTACCATGTCTAACTTACAAACACTGAAAAGATACTTCTCATAATCTTAAATGGTAAAAAGATAAAAAGAACTCATTTGTAATAATAAAAAAAAAGCATCCAAATAAGAATGATATCACTGACCCCTTTTGGAGCAAATAAACTTTATCAACTAAGAATAATTTTTTCAAACTCCCCTATTTCCTGTGGCAGTTTGAAAATAGGCTCCAAATTTCTTTGACCCCCCTCTCTGCCACTAAGAACTTGAAATTTATATCCCTCCTCCTAGAATATGAATTCTCTGACTGCATGATCACTTTATGACAGTAGAAATGAAGGCTATGTGTTTCTAGGGTCAAGACTTAAGAAGTGGCAGTTGACATTTCCTATCTTTTAGAACACTATTTCTTGAGATATTTCACTCGGAACCCAGCCATCACTTTGTGCGGAAGATGAGGCTGTCCCATAGAGAGAACACCAAAAGAAGAACTGACAGCCAAAACTACTTTACAAGTTATGTAAGTAAGTTATGTTGGACCTCTAGCTGAAGTTGAGCTATTCTGGCAGACAAGCTTCCTTGAAAAAGCCAGTGTAAATTATAGATTTGTGAACTAAGTAGACTATTATTGTTTTAAGCAACCAAATATTGGAGTGGTTTGTCATGTGTATGTATATATGTGTGTGTATATATATATGTGTGTGTGTGTGTGTGTGTGTATATATATACACACACACACACACACAAACACACACACACATATATATATATATATACACATACATACATACATACAGGTATATATGTGGGGGGGGTGAGTATGTGCATAAATATTGCCTTTCTTTGGTGAAATGTCAGCTATAGGGTTTTTTTTTTTAACTCTACAAATAACCGAATATGGCTAAAAACATTAAAAGCGAATTAGTAGACCTAGGAGAGGGATAGCTGGGTCAAATGGTGGTTCCATTCCCAATTTTCCAAGAAATCTCCATACTGCTTTCCATATTGGCTGCACCAATTTGCAGCCCTACCAGCAATGTATGAGTGTGCCTTTTTCTTCACATCCTTGCCAAAACTTATAATTGTTTGTATTCATAATAGCTGCCATTCTGACAAAAAACAAATGCCAAATGTTTTCTCTGATATAAGGAGTCTGATTCATAGTGGGGTAGGGAGAGGGAGCGTGGGAGGAATGGGGGGGGGGAAGGGAAGGAGTATGGGGTTAGAAATGATGATGGAATGTGATGGACATTATTATCCAAAGTACGTGTATAAAGACATGAATTGGTGTGAATATACTTTGTATACAACCAGAGATATGAAAAATTATACTCTGTATGTGTAATAAGAATTGTAATGCATTCCACTGTCATATATAAATAAAAATAAAAATATAAACAGTGAATTAGTAGTCTTAAGGGACCAGAAATAATCTGTTGGAGTTTTAGATAAAATGGAATCCCTAATCTTGTAGAAATCTTTTAAGGAATTAATTAATACTTAGCCTTTTGATTAGAGCCAATTATGTTTTTTTTTCAATCTATTAAAAATTTATCAAACCAAATTCCCATTGAATCAGAAAGGGTTTAGTTCTATGCTAAACTATAAGAAAT